AGATCAACCTCACTACCTCAAAGAAAGGGCACAGAGAAGAGAAAATCTCTGCCTAAGACCATCTATGTGGAGAGGGAAATCCACAGGCATTAGAGATTCTTCTGCAGGCTACAAATCTCTCGGACTCAAAAATGAGACAAAGAACAGAGTGCTAAACTGCCACACTTGGAACAACATATCCAGTAAATTTGCCATCCTTGCTAGCCTTGCAATCAATACTGCTATCTTACAGAATAGCTCATTCAGAAATTAAATGCTGAATGAGGGGGTCCATGAAATCCTATGCCCTGTATTACCTAAAACAAAGTGGTTGATCATAAGATTCCACTTGGGTCTTAAAAATCTATGAGTGTAGTTCAGAGGACATGTAATTCTAGAGGCTAAGTATGAGGTCCTTACATTTTTCAGGATGAATTTTCCCCGAAGACTACATTATTCATCCTATAACTGAAAAGTAAGCTTCAAAGATAGGAAGTAGTGAGCCCCCAAAAGATTAAATTTCCTCCTTCTTTTTTTTTTTTTTTTTCCATTTCTTTTTTTCCTTAATTCCAGGTGAAAACATGTACAGAAAATGGACAAACTTTGTGTTTTGAAGAAGACTGACAGGTTCTGAAGGCTTATGGAGAAGAGGTCAGCATTCTCACAACCAAATCCTGTGAAAGAGAGATACTGGCTGCATCTGGCTTTACAACAGGGCTCTACAGGAATTGGCTTTTCTGGTTTTGATGACCTCTGTAGCTCTGTGACAGATGTGGTGTTGTACCACATTTCCAAGGGATGGGATCTACAGCATCTACCCTTTACTATCTAATTGGATTTTATCACTTTGGCTGAATGTCAGGAGGTTTTTACAATGTGAGACTCCGAAACCATGTCTTGCCTAGTCATTCTTGTTTTCTCAGCCAGTTTTATCCATTTCTACTCCTATCTGTATAGCAGCATACAGAGCTCTAGTATTCCCCACAAAACTCATACTGTAGGACTCAGTATTGCACGTTATCCAACGGTATCATTTAAGACGGCACTTTAAATCACTGGGAACTGAGCTGAGCTTTTTGATGAAAATGTATTTGATTTTGTAAAGAGAAATTTCAGCAGAGTGAGGCTAGGACTATCTCTATGTGATTCACAGCAGAATTTCCATCTTTTGCACATTTTCAACACATACCAGGACTTGATGAAGACCTTACTTTTCAGGTGGACCAATCCTAAGTTTCATCCTCTAGCTACCAATACGAGGAAGGCATTCAGCTTGGCTGTCTTAATCACATTTTCAGTTTTGAAGGGCAGGAAATGTAGTGTAGTTATATGTGCGAGCCCTGAATAAGCTTAAGAGCAGGTGTTTGCTGCATGCTGGTTTTGGGAAATAGTGGCTGGATTTTGTTATGCTGTAAGTCAGGGAAATTACTCACATCTCCCCCTCCCCTCAACAGGAAAGTTTTGGGGGGCATGGGGGGTTGGCATTCTTCTCTGACCTGGTCTGCATTTAATCAACACTTTCATCTCTCTTTGCAGTAACTCCTCACAAGTACCACTGACATCATCAGCTAAGTTCTCTGTGTTTTCCAGTTTGTCAGTAAAATACTGTTGTTGAAACCAGTTTAGAAGGTGAATTCATGGCAGAGAGGATATGACCAGCCTGTCTCAAATCCTGGACTTGGAGTTTTGAAAAATAAATTGCTATGAAATCGTCATTTAAATTCCTGTGCTTTGTTTTTTAATTGTACCATCTTAGAAAGAAATAGAGTTTGGTATAAGCTAAATTGCTGTTACATTTCAACATGCTTGAGTGAAGTCCCGGAGCTACAATAAAAATAATTGACGTAACCAGCTTTTGCTAAGCTAAAATGAAGATTTAAGTTCTGACCTCCCCTTTGTACCGACAAACTACCCTGTGCTTTTTCGCTGTAGCCACATACTACCCTGAAAAACTCAAGGAACCCTTTGTCATGTTGCAGTGTAATTTTTTTTAGGCCAGCTAGTACATCTTTAATCCGAAGAAAGATGCTGCCATTGCCCAAGCCGGGTGACACTTGGAAGCACATTATCACATACAGAATGTTCATTAAAAGCGGATTAGGAGAAGATCTCATCAAACATACCAATTCCGCTTGAAATAAACGGCTTCTAAGCACAGGAATTGTCAGAGCAACGGACCACAGGCACCGACTTTGGTTTGCATATTTTAGAGAGTGTTTTGAACTGATGTGTGTGGGACTGGGCTCTTTACTCCAGCAGTTCTGTTTACTTTACTCAAACAGAGTAGAGGTGATAAAATGTGGAAACTTAATGAAAAGATATCCCAGGCATGAAACACTGCAGAAGAATTCTGCTTAATAACGAACTAATTTAAAAACAAATTAAATGAAATGCAGCTTTCAATGTTAGGTTCTAGATTTCTCTCCCCCAAACATTAGACGAAATTGCATTGTTTACAAAAATTTATTAATACAAACTTTACACACTTTATATAACAGTTATCAAAGTCCTAGTTATAGATATCATGTGTGTAATAATACTTTGTTTAACTTCTTTTTTATATTCATTTGCACACAAAATAAGTTCTCCAAGACTAACATCTACCTACTATGACTGTATCTCAAATCTGCTCAAATTTTGGTAAGGCTGTTGGCGTTTCTGAAAAAAAAAAAAAAAAAAAAAAAAAAAAAAAAGAAATCGTACAAAGGATAATAACCTAGATGATCACTTCATAATGCTTGCGACTAGCCACTGAACTCTAACTGATAAGGTCACAAACAAAACGTCAAGAGAGCCCTATGTCATTATACCACAGCCGACACAAACACAGCGCACTCTGCCCATGGCCAAAGAACAGAAGGACGACTAAAACGCAAGCCGATGTGTTGCAGCATCGTAGGGCCACTAAATAGCCATCCGTGAACTCGTGGCGATTTACAAGGTGAAGAGAAGGCACGAAAGCTGCACACTGCGGCCGGGAGCGCGGGCGGGCGGCGCCGGCAGCTCCCGCCCGCCCCGACGGGCTCTGCCCGGCCCGCTCCGCTCCTCCTGCCCGGGGAAGGAAGCTTTGACCCGCCAGGGTTTGTTGGGGGGGTTGGGGGGTTGCTTTCCGACGTCTTGAATGCGGGGCTCGTTTTGTGTCTTTGGAAAGACTCCTGTAAGGTTTGTGTGGTGAGCTGGAAGGAAGCGGGTACCTACGTGTCCTCCTTCGCTCCCGGCCCGGGCGGGGGACGGGACCGACCCCCGGGCAGACGGTAAGATAGGAGTCCGTACATAGAGAGATGAGGTGAAAATGGTTTATCTCGTTAGAAACCGGACCACAGGTGAACACTACACATTCTTTTATGACAAAAGTTTGTTTTATGAAATAAATTTTACTAAGCAATAAGCCAGAATGTAGAAAAATACATTTTACCTCCAAACTCAATAAACAAGGAACAAAAACTTTCGTAATAGTGCATAATTCTTTAGTGGTAGCTACAACAGGGGTTCCTAAACTTGTACAATAAGAGCTTGCATAAAACAGAACAAAGGAGTGAGAGAGCGTTCACAATCTTTTTTTTTTTTTTTTTTTTTTTTTTTTTTTTTTTTTTTTCTTTTTTTCTTTTTTCCAAAAAAGAACATAACCCAAAAAGGTGACTCAGGTGGGTTAAACAGAGTTCGGAAAAGTTCGAAGAGAGGATGAGAGGCGGGAGGTCCTACAAGAAAAAGCATTTAAAGAAAAGAGCAACTCCGACCGAAAAAAATGCAAAGGCGAGAACCCTGCTCATTATTACACAAGATGAGAAGCATGGACAGCACTGGAGAGTAACACACCGTACTTTGCATCCAGGTCCAGTACCGAGCTGCCCGGGGCAGTTGGGTAGCGGATCGGAGGTGGGATCGCCTCGTCTTTACCTCGACCCTGCGGCACCGGCTCCGGTACCGGCTCCGGCCCCGGGGCGCGCCGGGGGCCGCCCCCGCTCACTTCCCCACTCTTTCCAAACGGGTCCTGTCTCTGCTTTGGCTTTGTTCTGCAACTCTGCCCAGACAGCCAGAAGAGCAGTGCACGGGGCTTAGTACTTACTACCCTTGCTGCTGGTTCGGGATTTTGGGGTTGGGGTTTTGAGTTTGGCTATTTTTGGTTTTATTTTGATTTTATTATTATTATTATTATTATTATTTAGTTTTGGTTTTTTAACTATTTCTCCCTTCAATAGGCAACAGAGATGCACAATTTGGATCGAGCTGTTGTTTTCACAAGATAATTATCCTCTAAGCTCATTGTTTGAGGATACACTAATAGAGATACAACTGGAATCAAAGAAAGCAGGAGGGGAAAAAAAAATAATCGAAATCTAGAAGAAAGGGGATGCTGCCCCTTCAGAGAGGCTAGTAGCAAAGGAGCCTGCCTTGAGACTCACCAGGGGATGAATCTGCTTCACCAATTCTCCCAAATCAATTTCCTCATAATCCCCCTGGGAGCAGGTCATCCTTCTCTATGTACAGTAGCAAATGGTGAAAATTAATGTTTTCGACCCTGTCGCGGATAAAAATACTATCCTTTTAATTTCTGTTACAAAAATAGGAGTAATATTCAAAACAATGATTGTCTCTTTCTTTTTTCTATTTATATAAAAACATAAACAGCTCAGGCGAATTCTTGTTCTTGTGCAGGCTTTTCATGAAGAATTGTTCTTAACTATTCTTAGTAGTATTTATATATATATATTTATATATTATATATAACTTAATGATTGGTCCACAAAGTAGATCTGTGCGTTTCTCTAGTGCTTTTTGTACAAAAGAAAAACAATATTATTATCAAAATATTCATTTAATGGCTTTACTTCATACATAAATACATGTTTAGATAACACAGGAGCGGTGATTGTTCAGTCAGTTTGGAAATGACTTTTGTTTTTGTTTAGATTTTTTGTTGTTGTTGTTGTTGGGTTTATCTCTCTCTCTTTCTCTCTCTCTCTCTCTCTCTCTCTCTCTTAGGACTTTGTATACACAGGAGTGGCTGGTTACTCACATCGCTACAAATACGCTACTCGGCGTCCTTTGTTTTTAACTCTTTGTTTATACCTTTTCCCCAGGACGGCTGCTAAGTATTTCTTGACAGCCATTTGTTTCCGGTAGCGGCTGTAGCTGTCCGTGAAGATGCCGTCTATGTGCCGCTTGGTCAGCGGTTCCGCATCGTCCCCCAGGCCGCCGCTGGCACCGCTGCAAGCACCGAGAAGCACATCTGCATCAGGCGGGGCCGCTCCGCCCTCCTCCGCGCCCCTCCGCACCGCCCCCTGCCCGGAG